GCGTGGGTTCGAATCCCACTCTTGTCACCAATTCGATTTTTTTTGTCTCTGTATCTGATATGGTTGACCTCTTTTTTCCCTTTTTTGGACGACCATCTTCAGTCAGGATAGCTTCAAGCCTCACTGGATCGGAAAATAGACAGCGCAAGGTGCTCTGCCGGCAAATTTCCATTGCCTAAATAACGTGGGTGCGTGCAAAGCGAGAGGCTACAGGAAGTGCGACAGTCTCGCCGACTCCTGAGACCTGGTGGTACGCAGGAAGCGGAGGGACTGGAGGCGCGGTGTTGGCATCATCAATGTACTCGATCACGATGTCAGAATCTGCGTTGGGGATGCTTCGACGCTTTTGCGATGAAGCGCGTCGTCGAGCCGCAAGTGCCGATGTTGTTCCTGCGCTTAGTCGATAACGAGCGCCATTGACAAATGCCAAGCTCCGGCGTTTTGCGCTTTTGATCTTGATGGCCGTCTTGGAGCTCTGGCCCGTGCTCCTGGCTGGAGGAGGGTGAGCTCGCTCATCGCTTGAGCCAGCGAGGCTACCCGCGCGCCTCTGCTTGGCTCGCTCGCGGGCCCGTGCCGCTTCTCGCGAGGTATAGCCACCGATGCGAATCTGCGTGCTGCTCGCAATGCTAGCAGCACTGAACGACTGTTCGCTGAATCGACTGTCTCGTCTTGTGTCACTGGTAGTCTGAGACTGCGACCTGCCGTGGCCATGCTCTCGACCGCGCTCGTGAACGATTCCTGTGCCGACGTCCCACATGAAGTCGCGAGTGATCGAGGAGGTGTCTGCCTGAAGCGTCGACATGTCCACGGCAACACTCGAAGTCTTGCGCCGATGCTCCGCACGTCGTGCTCGGTCCGCCAGCACATCGCGATGCGACTTGGCTTCCAACGATGGAAACGACTCGTGGATCGACACTGGCGCACCCCGCCTCTTCCCCTGTCCTCCTTTCCGGCTGAAGAGATTTCGAAGGGTCATCGAAGCCTCTGAACCGGTGTGCTTTACGCCTCCGACCTTCAACTCTTTAAGTGCAGATCGAGGGGCGAAGCTGTGCCTTGCCTTCTTGCCGAACTCGCCACGCTTTTGCGAGAAGCAGCTTCGGGCGTCTTTGAGCGAGCTCGAGTAGAACGCGATGCCGAGGCAGAGATAGCACATGCCAATGACGAAAAGCATCCAGCTGACCACCAGAGGGAACTCGTCGAGGTAGTGGCTGAGCAGCGAAGTGGCCACCACGATCTGCACACTTCCGAGTGCAGCAAGTCCGCGCTCACGGCTGAGTACGGGGAACCACAGCTGTACGGCTCGCTCGAGCTTTGAAATGCTGAGCCAGCTCAGCTCGGCGAGTAAAAGCGCCACAGTGCCGATGAGCAGGAGCGAGCGATGCACTTCAACCCAAAAGATGCCCCAAGTCTGCATGGGGATCGAGGTTCCCGGAACATATGCACAATCGTCTGCTTGCGCCTCGTCCATATTTGTCGGATCGTGGTAGTAACGAACGTCCTCCACGAGACCCATGATGAGCGTGGTGAAGACGAGGATGATAACAAGGAGTGAAATGAGTCGAAGCGCATTGAGACCGATGAAGAGTACGATAGGCAGCTTCGGCTTGGCCATCTTGGCAGTCTGATGGTGCAGAACAGCTGTTGTGGCGGCCTGAATATGGTTCCCTATCTCATACAGGGGCGTGACGATCTGGGAATGCCTGCTGCTCGCTGTGTGTTTGGAGATGCGAGTTGCTTGTGGTTGATGGAGAGGTAGAGACGAGCATTGCGATTCTCGTGCGCCTGGCTCAGCAAGAGCACTTATGTGCCTTCCCCCATCCTAGCGTTATTCATGCCTCAAGGTCCAGATCAGGAACAAAGGGCGAGGGTCCCTTTGTCGGTTCGATGATAGCCATCGCGGCGCCCAGCCCTGGGTGAAATTGAGCAAAGGGAGTTGGTAGATCGAACAAAGGGACCGGCGCGGCCCTTTGTGCTCTTGCTCATGCAGGTGGCCGCGTCGATATTAAACGACGTGCTGAGATCCACAGCCGCTTCGGCCTGGCACAACAAGACGCCGGACAACGTCATGGCAACGCAGCACGATCCACCGCGCCACTGAGCTCGCTAAGTCATGGACATCTGCCTACTTCATCGTCCCATGTTCTAGCGTGCGGGTTGTTGTTGAAGGCGCAGCCCTGAGCCTTGCCCCCGATGAGATCGGGCCGATATAGATGAATCGGGACGGTGCGCGCCGATGGATTTTGCACAAGAGCGTGACCCTGACCAGTGCGGATCGGTTCGCCTTGCCCGCTTCCCGTCGATCCCGAGTCCGCAAAGCGATTGCGAGGCTGCCGCGAGAGGTCACCACTTTCCCACCCCTCTTTTCGCCACTTTCTTGCCCGACATATTGACTGGGCGCAGCGCTCCGAATATGAAGGTGGGTTGTGTGACCGCGGCGATTTCGGAGGCGAGATGTGTGTCTGAGGTGTGAAGCGGTTCGAGTCGTTTCGAACCTGCAGCTGTATGCATTAGATCTACCGAGAGAATCTATCGCGTGGACCAACGCGCGACTGGCAAACTCTGTCGTAGCTCGCTCTGTCGCAGCTCGCTCCACTGACAGGGTCCAGCGCCGCATGAAAGCGGATGCGAGTCCGTCCTGACCACATGCTGCGCAAGCAAGAGTGGGATGTGCGAACTACTTTGAACCGCGGCACGGTGAGCGCTCGCGCCTGTCTTCCTGAATCAGGGACAGGAATGGCATGCGAAGGACCATGAGCAAGGAGGGATGGAGAAATTGCGCGCAATTGAAGCGGGGCCTTCTGTGAACTCAATTCGCGGACCTCTTCTGCCAGCCAAGGCGGAGAAAAAGGTCCGGCCGGAGCAAACAAAAATCGGAACAGCAGGATGAACGAGCGCAGCAGCAGCAGCAGCAGCA